GTGAAATGTAAGTATATTTTATTCACATTTCACCTAGTTTTTCCCTTTCTCTTTCCAAATTTCTTTGCAAATTCCCCAACCAAATACAGTGTTAGAGTTTGTGCCCAGTAATTGCCAAGTATGCAGGGGTCGGGTGACTATAAAAGTACAAGGAAAAGCCTCATATACACTAGTTAAAAAAAAAGAGAAGAAAAAGAAGAAGCATACCTGCGATCATGTTAAATAATTTCAGGAACAGTTCATCATGATTTATCTGGTGATTGTTACCTTCAGCATCCAGCAATAGAGATTTGCAAATTTTGTACATGGAATTAGCTGCTACAACGTTAATGGGCCAATTGGTAGGGTTCCCGACGGGGCTTGCATTGATATTTGCCTTGTATTTTATAACAATTTTCTGAGCAAAATCAACGACTATTTGAAAAGTCTCTCTGCAAGATGTTTCTTTGGGAGCTATTCTGGTGAGATCTTCATCAAGCCACTTGCCTTCAAGTTCGACTCCTAACCACGCTTTATTAGCTGCATCTCTACTGTTTGTGAGGTTCCCTTTGGTATCCATGGCTTCGTCAACATGTCTAACATACGAGAGGCCTTCGCTCACGCTGCGCACGAACCTGTCAGCCATGTTCTTATTGATTTAGGAAATTGCAATAGCGATGCAAGTTAGAGTCACCAATGGCAAAGCCCAACAATTAAGAGGTTCTTGAGAATCTAATGATGGAACTTTGTCGCTATGAAAGTCTAATATGCATTCAAAGCCACCTGTAGATTTCTGTTGAAGAAGCTCGATTAAATTTCTGGGCTGCTGTTTGTTGGCCTTGATGATGAAATGACCTGCTGCTTTACTAATGTTCTTCAAGGTACTTTCAGTAAGTTCCACTTCACCTTCAAGAAGCAAAACATTATCCGACTTCGTTGGGGATGTTGAGTTATGTACAGGCTCCTTAAACAAATTGTAGCAACAGCGGTAACATAACATGAGCCGGCGAACATAAAAAAGGGGAATGAGAAGAGTTAATTTGCTTGTTACCACAATCATAACCTGAATCATTATACACAAGTTCAAAACTAGATTTTTGGTGCGCTGGACAAGTTTTCTCAATTTCAGACCACGGATTTGAAGAACTATAGAGCTCTTCTTCCATTCTTCCAACCTCTTAATCCAATAACTCTTTGGTTTGAGCTCAGTTTTGAAGCCTTTGGTACTTTCCTTGGAGCATTTGAATTTAATTGCAGTGAACCATCTACATATCGGACCAATGATCCCCACACCCACTGTAGCAGTTTGAATTACAAAAATAAAAAATGTTGACCACGTATAATCTGATTCCCCGGTTGCAGCAAAATCCCACACTCGATACTCAAGTTGTGCTAAAATTAGAGCAGTCATAAGACAGATCACCCCTGAAGCAGAGCAGGTCACAGAACGTGCCATCACAAACTGGGGGCTCCCAGTTTCTGCCATCATCCAGTACTTGTTGACATTTTCTTTCAGTTTTTCAACTGTAATTTTCTTTCCAATTTGTTCTCTTAATGCTTCTTTGTGTATTTCACTATACTTCAATTCTAGATGTTTTTTAGTGGTAGCAACTGTAACCGCCGAGAAAGTTGATATTACCAACAACAGAAGCATGAAAAAATTAACTAGAACATGTTCTACTAGTATTTCATTCGGAATTGTACAAGTAACTAATTAGATGCAAACATTCACAATCACGGTGATTATAAGAATACCCAAGGCTATTATGTTGGTGAATATATCTTTATCATCCATGGGGCCCAAAGATGGCATAAAATTACCTATTGCAATACACATCATGACTGTGCTGCTAAGTTTTACAAGTTGATCACTTCCTCCGTACATGTCACTACTCACATCCAATGGCATCTTCATTGCTACACCTAACAATGTTAGCGTAGCGGCATTGATAGTGAAGAATTTGCACGGGAACCAAAAATTTTTGTTTCGAAATTCATAGAAAGCATCGGCAACAATTGTTAAGAAGCAAATTAGAGATGCTGCTGCAACATATATTCCAATCCATGGCATTGGTGCTTTGGATTTTTGGGAGTTATGCTCGCAGTAAAGCATGTTTTTCCAATGTTGTTTTTGGTTTCCGGTGGTAGTTTTACGGAAAGTGAGCTGTGCAAAAAATTGATATTATTTAGCGTAATTTCCAGTTCATCTATACACTATATAATAAGGGAAGAGCTGCTCTTTAAATAGTAACTTTGAGTTTGTTTGGTATAAATAATACACTATATATTATTTAGCGTAGTTTGTTTGGAACGCACAATTTCGTTAGTTTTGATTGACCATTAATTAAAAAGATGAGGGTTTGGGTCAAGGCTCTGGTTGAAAGATTTTAATCAATTTATTTTATTATTTAGGACTTCCAAATAAGTTCTTTAACAAATCTCTTCCATACGTGTTGTGTAAGTATGATAAGGTTAAGATTTGTGAGAAAAAAAAAAATCATTCAATAAGTATGTTTGTATTTACAAAAGAAGGAATTTTGAGGGTTTTGGGAGTTTTTGTTTGAGTAATTTTTAACTAATCAGTTTGGATAATCATATATGTATGTGTGTGTATCTGTGATATATGTATGTATTTTTATTTTTGACAAATTGATTTATGTTGTGTTTGGTTGGAGGATTTGAGAAAAAATTTGAAAATAGAAAGAGAAAAAGTAGGTGAAATGTGAATAAAACATACCTACATTTCATTTAATTTTACATGCCTTTTTCATTTTTTTTCCAAATCCCCCAACCAAACACAACGTTAGGGCTTGTGATAATTAGTTTAATTGTTTGGATAGTTTTTACAGCGACAACGAAATTTGACCACCGATCTCCTTCGCCGTCCTTTGTCCTCTTGCGACCAACGATCACTGATCTTCTTTCGCTCTCTCTCTCTCCTATGTCTCGCGACCACCATCCTCCGCATTGAAGATTAAAAGCCCAATCAGAGTTTAGAACAAAACAGAGTATAACAGAGTCTTCAAACTGTGAACTTTTCTATCATTGAATTGTTATTGCTTACTGCCTATAAACACTTCAGCACTCTTTCTAAAGTTCTATGTGCGGGTATTGATTTTTGACCACACAACCAAACAAGGAACTCAGCTGAAGAGCACCGATAGAATAGATTAAGCCCGAACAACCTGTCACAGAAAGATAAGAATACCGCGGTGGTTCTTCTACCTGAGGGCACGCCGACGATCAAGTCAGTAATCAAATATCTCTCATAGATAGCTAAATGTGCTTAAACTCACAAAAGGGGACTTACCTTTGACCCTCGAGGGTGCCATATTTTTATAGCCATTAGTGCCCAACTCCCCTAGAAGTCTTACTTCATGGGATTTTGACACATAATGCTTCTTGGGATTCCTAGCTAGATAGGGATAAACTCCCTAAGAGTTTTATCCTTATCAAGATTAGAGCCCTCTTTTATCTAAGATTCTTCCCCCCTTATCTGCTTATCTCGGATTCCGGTATCTCCGCAGATAACCTCAGTCCAGCCGAGATCATCTCGACAGTTCGACCAAGCTACATGGCACATCGGTTGACACTTCGGCGTTATCTTAGCCATGTGCTGTCATTCACAAAATACGTCCCCACATCTACCCCCTAGGTTTTATTACCTCGGCAACCTGAGGTAATGGAACCTACATCGTTTGTCCACGTAGCATGTCACAAAAATTCATTCTTCTTTTCAATTGAGATAATCTCGTCGGCTTCATATATTTAGGATTTAGCTGTCCATCCTTCCAAGGATCAAGAACCAAGAACTTAATTCTTTAAACATCTCAACCGAGATCGTTCCTCTAGCCGAGGTTACAGCTTCATTATCTTAAGAATTTCTAGAGTTCTAACTGTGCATGAGCTGTCACGCATAGTCCACTTAACCATTTCCTCCACATGACCCTTTTCTTGTTGGTTCGTACGTGACACGCGATATTAGGGCACGTCATTGCTGCCACGCCGCCTGGCAGGCACATCGTCCAAAGCATTTCCATTATGGTTTGTAGCCTTTTCATATTTTTGACAAAAACTCTCTCTCTCTCTCTCTCTCTCTCTCTCTCTCTCTCTTTGCCTCTTCACTCTTACAAAATTGATTTCTCTCCGTGCTCAATTTTTCTCTCTAAACTTTCCTTCTTGAACCACCATTTTTCAAGCTCTCAAGCTCTATAACTACTCTGTCCATTACTTCCAGTGACGTATTCGTTGGTCTGTTCCAGTGACTGTCATCGCGTGATTCCGGTGATCATTGCTCCGGCGTCGCTTCATCGCCTATATTCGGTGAGTTCCTAGTTTCTTTCTCTTTAATTTCAGTCTTCATTGTTTTCTCAATATGTTCTTCTGCCACACGTTGTCATCGCATTTATCGCTATTTTGAATATGTTTTCATAGCTATTCCTTGATTTTGGTGGTCATTTTTATTCTGCAAATCAATCTATGTTCTTTAATCTATTCTATGTTTTGTTACCGTCCATTGTCTTGTCTTGTGATTTTCACACACTTGCACACATCTATTCATTGTCTATGAATTCGTATCTTTCCTCATTTCTTGACAATTGCTTTCTTGATTCTGAATCGCATTCCTTTTCTGGTCTTCTTGTTTTGTTTTTTAGATTCTTGCTTCTTGTTTCTGTAGTTCTAGGTCCTAGAAACCAAACACTTAGGAAAAACTGAACCAAATTCTCCTAAATCTTCAAAACCCTAGACCCAGTGCCTGTTTGGGGTTTGGCCGAGGTCTTCAATCCTATACCAAGTATTTTTTCTAAAACATTGTACCCACTTCATCAAGCCAACATCATGGAAATGTTTAGGTGGAAGGTAGACACCCCTGCCAAACTTGAGAACTTCAGGCAAGAGTTCTCCATTCCAGCCGACGTTCAAATCAGGTTGGCTGGAGAGGAGGACTTTATTATGCATGTTAAGGATTCCATGCCATTCCCTGTTGTGGCATTCATTGAGTGCGGACTTCAGCTTCCCCTAGACATCCTCTTTAGGGAAATCCTTCACTACTACAAGCTTAACCCTATGCAACTAGCCATAAACTCCATAGGGTTATTAATGGCATCATTGAGTTGGCACACAGAGAGAAGGCCAGGATAACACTTGCTGACATCCAATTCTATTACACCATGTGTGACCTTAAGTCTGAAAAAGGCTACATATCTTACCTCAAGCCCAGATCAACCGCCTACAAAATCATAGCCGACTTCCCAGATTCAAACAAGGGTGCCAGAGATGATTACTTGATCGTCTCGGCAATTGGGAGTTTGCGCCTGATGACGATCTTCATATCTTCCCTTTGTGCCACACAGTATTTAAAGAGGGTGATGGTAAGAATTGAGTCATCCCATAGTCATATTTCTGCTAAGACTTGCTAGTTTATTTATTTGTACTAATGCCTTCTTTTTGTTTCTCTTTTGCAGTTCTTCCTCAGCCAGCCAAGGACTTCTGTCAAACTTTCTTCCCCAACAAGGATTTGAAAAGGTTATTGGGTTTGCCACTTGAGAAGCGCATAGCCCCGCTACTACTCAATTACGTGCCAACTTACAAGTTCGCTCTGCTCGACGTTCGTCGTCAAAGCAAGACTCCTTTCTTTGCAACAACTCCATCAGATGTTTTATCACCAAGGCAAGACCATGACTCTTCTTCTAATCCAGTGGAACTACCATCCACCTCTGCTCCTCAGTTTATCCCACCATCTCAGCACTAATGCCGACGTCGTGCCCAGCGAACCCGTCAACCGGCAGAACTAGGAGCTGCCGGCACCGAGATTTAAAGGCATCGGCCTACAATCTAGTAAACCCTCCTACTGTCTTGCCAGTAATACACTTTGGTACCAAGGTCACCATCCCTGTTACTACCGATGAAATGGGCCGTGCGAAGATTGTACCCAATGACCTTCTTGCCGACATCCCTGGTGTGGTCACAGTCCAATCCCCCTCTCATTTCCAGCCTTAATCCAAGCCCAAAGTCAAAAGGGTAAAAAGGGCTAAGGCCAAAGCCACTGTCATAGAGGTCGAGTCTGAAGAGACTGTGCTGATCTCGAAGTTGGTTGAGATCGAGGGAAAATCATCAGCCATCAGGAAGAGGCCCACCAAGGTTGATCTGTCTGATAAATCGCAATCCAAGGAGCCAAAGTCTGAAGAAGCAACACAGCCTGGGTGTGTTCCATGCCAACAAACCCTGGACACCAACGTTTATGGTTGAAGACCGACCTTTGTTGGCTGGGGACAGTGCCCTTGACGATGTGCAAGTCGGTGCTGCTATTTCCACCGCTGTTCTTCTGTCAGCCGACATAAATCGAATGGCTGAGCTCACTGAGTATGAGAACTATGCCTTGATGATGCAGCATTGTGTTCTGGTAAGCTTCTACGTACTTTGCTTATTTTCGTTAAATTTCAATTTTGAGATTTGTGCTTGTACTTTGCCAAAAAATGTCTAATTTTCCTCTTGCAGGCCATCCAGCAAGGTTACTCCTTTGCGATGAAGACCGAGGCATTCAAAAAGGGGTTGACCGATAAGACGAAAGAGGCAGCCAAGCTCCTTGCTTCGCTGAACCAGGCTGAGGCTCGTATCCGAAGCTTGCTAGATCAGAACAAGGCTGCCCAACCAGCAAAACGCAATGGCGAGGATCGTGCTGAGGCCGCTGAAAATATCACCGTGGTTGCTCAGGCCCAGGCAAAAGAGGTAAAGGAAAAGAAGGCCGAGGCCCTGATCGAACTTCGAATAGTGCTCGCCACAAAAAAGGCCAAGCTCAAGGCTGCTGATGAAAAGGCTTATGCAAAAGGGGCAGCTGACGTCTGCAATGCCTACAAGAAGCAGGTCAACCATGCCTGTAATAAAGGTTACACCATTGGTTGGATGGCTGCGTTGAAGGAGTTGGCTATCCCCGATGACTCGCCTCTTACTGACGCTAGCCGACTTGCTCTTCCATTTCCCTCAACTCCAAGCCAATCTGAAGATAAAGCTGAGGAAGAAGAAGAAGCCGAAGCCGAAGCCGACAAGGCTCAGGGTGTAGTTGTCGAGGTTGAGGATGAAGCTCAAGATGTTGGGGCCAAGTCCCCAACTCTAAATGAGCAACTCCTAGACTTGACTCAGGACGACGAGGACCAGGTTCCCAAG